GCGACTCTCTGGCCCTGATACACAGCTAGCTCCCCATTGAGGCTCTAGCCCTAGGACTGCATTTCACGGCGTCACGGATTTCAAAAAAGTATTGGTCCCCTTTGGGTATTGTCTCTTAATTGGACTGTGGGCACCGCAAGTCCGGCGTTTTGGATACAGGCTGGTGTTGCGAGACACTTTCTTACTCGTGCCACTCGGCAGCTTTCTTACTACATGGATACCACGCTCTCCTAATCTTGTCGCGCCATGCGCCGACGGCGAACCGCACCGGTTCTCTCTTCTTATCTTGTCATTGTTATCACTATATTTCTGTCTGCAGTCTCTGGCGCTCCGCGACGTTGACACGAGGGGAAACGGCCAGTATACGAGCAAGTCAATCAAACCCTGGGCACCCGAGATGGGCACTTCGTCCTCTCTCGGATTGCCATAATTCATCTGTTGAGCCCATTCTTCTATTGCGCCGCCTCCGCGGATCTCGAGACCGTCGCGGCCCAATCAATCTGCGCTGATCTGCGGTACAGTATCACGCATGAGGAACATATGCAATGCCGTTTTTCGCCAATCGCCCTGGCTTACGGCCTCTGCGATGCCATCAATCACATTTCATGTAGCTCTCGAACCACGTCGGCGAGCTGCGCCAATCACGCGAGCCGCCTATTTGCTCTGTATATTGGGTCTGACTCCCTTGTATACCAGCCCTGCACTAATACCCAGGTAAACGAGACGACGTGGTCAAGGCACCGTCTATTCTAAGCCCGTGATAGGATGCCATCAATCAAGCTCCAGTCTTGTCATGCAGCACATGCTAGCATGTGCACCGGGCACAAGTCTCAACCTGGGAACAGGAGCGTCGCCGTCGTATGATGCTCAAAATATGGCTGTCTTATTACACCTCCGATCATGCTGAGGGACGGGCCGTAGCATGTTCAACGCCGTAAGCTTAGAGGCGTCTCTCCCAGCCATGCTGCCACATGTATCTCAGCCTCCATGGCCGCCTGAAAACTCTCGCAGTAAACCCAGTCCAAGTGAGTGCAGTGCTTTCATGTGACCAACAGCAAAGCCGCGGCCTGTGCAGACATGTATCCAGATCGCCAAATAACCGAGACTCTTGTATATTGGCACCTGATATGCGTCAAGCTCCGCACTGGTCATCTGCAACCAACCGGGTAACGCGTCTTCTAGAAGGCATTCAGCCTGACCATCTTGACGGTTCAACCGAAGACTGAGCCACATAGACGCAGCAATAGCGTCCTTTGTCATGCGTGTGATTGTGCACCGGCCCCATCAGGCTTTTCTCGCCACGCTGTTGAAGCTAGTATGGTTGATTGAATCGACACTCGAGAGCGCCGTGGCCCCTCTGAATTGGCATCTTCAGTCTAATTTAATCCCCTGTGGTGGGTGTTTTGCATGTACCAGTGCCGACCCTTGTGACTACCACTCTATCCCTTGCTCTTGATTCCGCGAGACATCACATGGTCGATCTGCAGCAAGGCGCTTGTACTAGTACGTGCAGCGACGCAAAGCGGCTCCTTTCGCTTCATCAATTAGACGACCTTCGCTCGAGTGCAGTCGCATCCTGTGCCAACTTGAGACAACACCGGCAGCGGGTCTCGCTATGAAGTGTTGAGTCTAGTCGGCTCGGGGTCGGAGGAGTGACAGGGTGTTGATGCAGACGCGAATAGCTCATCACACCCGCACGTTTCGTGAAGAAATGAGATGCGCAAGCGATGACTTCGTTGTCAGGATGATGAGTGGTTCGACGGCTCGGCGTCGTTTGTGCGCTCGGCCCGGTAGTCGCTTCCTCATTCGGCCTCGGCAGCCGCGAGTTTCAATGTTCTGTCGACAACCCCAACCTCCACTCCGCAGCCATGTCGATTGATATCAACTGGGACACCATCACAGGCGGTGCAGAGGGCTCCGCGCGTGCTGAGACAATACGCGCCTTCATCCACGACCGGTTTCAGCAGGTGACGCTGCCACGCTTCATCCGCTCAGTTCACGTGCACTCATTCGACTTCGGCAGCGTACCCCCGGAGATTGAGATTAAAGACATATGCGACCCACTACCTGACTTTTACGAGGATGATGAGGACTACCCAGACGAACAAGGGGACGGGCCAGAGGAAGGCGACACGCAGCATGACGCCAAGTCACGCGACTCCAGCAACCCACCCAGTCGTTCACGAAGGGATAGCCATTCTAGGGAACGAGGCCGAGAGGTAGACTTGGAGGAACACACTCCCATTCAGACCAGGTTACGCCCTTTTCAACCTCTTCCTCGGCCATCCACGAAACGCGCGTCATTGGCTCCCAACGAACTAGGCAGCCCATTCTTTCATGGAGCACTCACGCCAGGCATCCCTGGTGGCACCTCCAATATGAACTACTTCCATCTACCTTTGAGTGCAGGTCTCTCCGGCGCTACCACGCCTCTTGCTGCTGTAGCTGGTGCCCAATTGCATAATTGGCTTGAGAACCCTCACGGTCGGCCAACTACGCCAACAAATATGCGTCTGCGGAACGCAGCGTCCATGAACTCGCTAACCCTCACACCGCAATCTCACCCAGATCCAAGTTCAAGGCCTTCCTCAAGGCACCAACAGGACGAGGGAAAGAGGCCGTCCTTTGCCGGATCAGACGACGGTACTTCTCAGCATAGCTATGCGCGGACACCGTCTGCGTCTCCTCACCGCATGCGTGAGAAGAGTCCTGATGACATACAAGTTGTGACACATGTGCAATACTCTGGCGACATCAAAATGTCACTGACAGCGGAAATCCTGTTGGATTACCCGATGCCAAGCTTTGTCGGCATTCCTCTTAAGCTAAACATCACCGGACTCACCTTTGACGGTGTTGCGATATTGGCATACATAAAAAAGCGGGCCCATTTCTGTTTCTTGTCACCAGATGACGCAGATGCTCTAGTCGGCGGCGAGACCGGCTTCAACGGCCTTCAAACAGACGCACAAGGCCAAAACCCGCGGCCTGTGCAACGACCCAAGATCGGAGGTCTGCTGGAAAACATCAAAGTCGAAAGCGAGATAGGTGGCCAGGGCAGTGGGAAGCAGGTCCTCAAGAACGTCGGGAAGGTGGAGTCTTTCGTGCTGGAGCAGGTCAGGCGCATCTTCGAAGATGAGTTTGTCTATCCAAGCTTCTGGACGTTCCTCGTTTAGAGCTCTGGAAGTCGCTCCGCGTAAAGAGCGATTGTATGTATAATTGCATGCGCTACATACATTACATGTACAGCCAGCCAGCCTCAGCAACGAAATGGCGATGTGACATTCCGCATCGGCATTTTTCACCGCCCACGGTGGATGGGATTCATTCGAGCACAGCATTTCATCTGTCCATAATGGACCTTAACACACGACATGCATGCATACAATTTCGGGGTCACACAACAGCGATTTTCCCCACCCGAGTGACAAAACTAGTGTCTCACGGCAGCAAAGAGCCTTGTAGCAAGCCCTTCCTTTGTACTCACTACAAGGGTCATACGGCAGACGCTCCGAGAACGTGGGTTACTTGCAGTCACCATGGGCACCCGCAGAAGCGATGAGGGACGGCATTTTGACAGCTATGTTACTGACAGCGGGTGTGACGGAGTTAGGCCACGTTGGTACCTTCAGAACAGGGACGAGGACAAATGAAGCACTCTTTTGAGCCGTTAGTGCGAGTGTAACCTGCCTGTCAAGATCACTACCCGTCGGCGTCGGCATCGGGCCCATACAGACAAGCCTCGCACCGCGGTTGTGTCCCGTCAACTAGCGCATTGCCCATCAACCTTGTTATCATGTGTGTTGATCATCGATGCCGCATCCTGTCCCTCGTTTCCCGCCATCCCCGCCTTCATTGTAATCACCCTGGCTGCATACGCCCTTTGCTGGCATACAGGTATGCATTTCGCCAATGATACCCACATACGATGTTGTGCATTCAACCTCACCGGTCGTTGAACCGCCTTTGTACCGATTGACCAGTGATATAGAGGCACGACAGATCAGACCCAACAGATTCCGTACAGAGTCTGCAATTCCCCCAGACGATCACATTGACGCAACACCTTACTGCTAGAATACTGCAATGGCCAATCCCAGTGTGCCAACAATTCGCAATCTGGTAGCGCAATCTCACCACGTAAACTGAGATGAAATTCATGCCTCTCAACATCAAACACGAGCACCTTCTAATGTTCTCAATCACATGCGACCTATTCTTGGACAATCATAAGATAGAGTTTCGATAACCCTTGGAATGGATGACAACCATGTCGCATGCTTTGCGCAATATTACCGTACCTTGTGCCGTTATTGTCACATATAGACTCTTGGGGTCATAGTACCGGCTGTGAACCGGCAAGGATTGCGGCGCTATGGCGTGTCTTGCATGGCGGAAGTCGTGACGTCCGTCTACAATTGCTTCAGCCAAGCAAGCAACAGCACTTTCCGGTAAAGGTGAATGATCTTATCTGACGATGATTGCTCGAGTGGCTGGACTGCGACGGTAAGACTACAGAGGTTGTACAGAACATCCCGAAGCGGAATGCCCATGCAATAATGAGAACCACCTATATGTCCGCGTTTATGCATTCCTCGATGGTCTTTGGCGCCCCAAGAGTTCACACTTCCCAGGCTTGGCACATCCATTTCTCTTGGAGGACGGCATAGAGGTCACTCTGTACCGATACCACACCATTGGTGATCGTTCTACAGCCTGGTGTATTTGCTACTGTATGAAATTGTCGCAAGCTAACTATAGTGTCCATCACTAATCTGGTTGACATCCGATCAGGCCTCCAGACATTTTGAAACTTGGATGATGTGCATGCACCGTGCCTGCTGGTTAGGCTTGCCGACAAGGCCGCGTTCAAGCGAGGCTGGCTGACTGAGCGCGAATGGGCCAATGACGCACACCATTCCCCACATCGCGACCCCGCGCGTCATTATCCAAAATGACGCAGGACGCGCCTGTGCGCCCTGACGCTACTCGATCCACTCATGAGGCTGCGAAACTTCGTGCGCCATGCTCGCGTCATTCGAAATGCGCGGCTGCCTGTGTTCAGCAACCGCAAACGCTACCAGTATGAGTGCCTGCCATCGCCTACCTGTATACGCCTATTGGAGCTCCTACCAGTGACAAGCAACGGTATCATTCGCTGCTCGTTGAAGGTTACTGAGCTTGCAGATGCGCCTTCCTTCAAAGCTCTGTCATACACATGGGGTAGTCCGCGAGCCAGTTCCATATCAGGAACATCGCGACACTATGAAGTAGGAACGAAACCTGCATCGAACGACGAAGTAGACTCGACCCGCCAGCACACCATCATATGCGATGGCTGCCTTCTCAAGGTCACCAGTAACCTTCGAGATGCACTGCAAATGCTCAGCAACGCTATCAACATGCCACACATGCCCAAAACCCCGACCTACTACTGGATAGACCTTTTGTGCATGAATCAAACAGACATTGAGGAGAGGAATGCTCAGGTTGCCCGTATGGGTGATGTTTTCAAGAAGGCCGATGGAGTTGTTGTCTGGCTAGGCAAAGAGGATCAGTACACGCTGGATGCTGTCACTACCATGCGGAAGATAGCGGCTATTCCCGAGAAACACTGGCCGCTAGTACCTTACACATCCTTCTACAATCCCAAAGAGAGTCAGCTAGTATCCTCTACTGGTCTCACCTTCTACAACTGGCTAGGCTTCACAGTCCTCATCAACCGCCCATGGTTCAAGAGGGCTTGGGTGAGTTTGCAACGAATAGCTACATGCACAGCCGACGACTGATATCATCAGGTCGTTCAAGAGATCGCACTTGGCAAATCGGCTCTGGTAGTTTGTGGTAACAAGGTCTTTCCTTGGGAAATTCTATCCAAAACGCTGTCTTTTGTCAAGCTCACGAGGTGGTATCATCATCTCCATGCAGACAAACTAAAGCATGTCAAAGAGCTGCGGAAACATCCTGGCATCTACAAGCAAATTCTCAAGTCGAAGCTAGCTGTCGGCATCAGCCCTCTATATCTCAATGATACCCGGCTATTCGCATCTTCACTGATCAGAGACGACGGTCAAGCGACCAAACAACCGTCTTTTCGGAACCTGCTCGACAAGCACCGCTTTTCAGAGTCTTCAGATCCCAGGGACAAGGTGTACGCATTTCTCGGCCTGGCCAACCGGGGTATGTCTCCATTTCGTACGCAGCCTAACGCGCTTACGCCGGATTACAATCTCAGTGTACAGGAGGTCTTCACCCAAACTACAGCGGTGCTCATGTCGTCTTACAAGAACCTTTCGTGGTTGTCACACGTGGAAGATGCTTCACAGAGACGGATATCAGGGTTGCCATCCTGGGTACCCGACTTGAGCGTGCCGCTTCAACCTTACCCACTTCGCTATCGTGGTCCGGCATACTGGCATGCTGCTGGGAATCGCGTCTGGCGTCCGGATGTAGAAAGCATGAAAAAAGGACTTCTCCCGGTCCAAGGACATCGATTAGATCAGATTGACCAGACCTCTCTGCTTATTGACGAATCAGAAGACCCCCCAGCGGTATGGGCAAGCATCGTGAACCTGGCCCTTGCGCTTGACTTGTCATACCCCGACCCTGGTGCAACTGGCAAGACACCATCGCGTGTCGAAGTACTATGGCGAACGCTGACCACCGACATCTACAACCATACATACCCTGCGCCTGTAGAAATAGGCAAACTCTTCATTGATTACATCCTCAACCTCCAGATCAGGCATCGCTTGACTCCATGGTCAAGCGCTGACGATTTCCAACCCCATCATTCGCCATTGACAGAGTCTGTATACCCAGATTGGCGCAAACTCCTTGAGCTCGAACCACCGGACTCGCCGTACAGCTTCGAATCGTATTCTAAGCGCTTAGTTGCCGTGGTGGAGAGTATGTTCAATGGTACATATTCGCCAATCGGGCTTGCGCAGCTACAGCACGAGCTTGATCAAAGCGCAGGCCGCCAACGAAGACTTTTCAAAACACGCGGAGGGTTCATGGGCACTGGAGCGAGGTCGCTGCGTGTAGGCGACGAGGTCTGGGTGCTGTATCGCGGTGGTCTTCCCTTTGTGCTGCGGCCTTTGCCTAATGGCCGTTATCGTCTTGTCGGAGAATCGTTTGTATACGGGGTGATGCATGGGGAAGCTCTAATGATGGATCTTCGGCGACAGAATATCGTTCTTGAGTAGGATGCTTGAGTCTGTCATGGTGGGAACCAAAACGTTGAAGTACCCGACATGTTCACGTACTATTCGTCGCCATGATAACAGCGCTTCTTTCATTGTATTACCCCTGTACTTCGCGTCATATATCCCATCAAATGCTGCAACGACTATCGCTCCTCAAGAAAGGTTCACTATACGCACACAAAGTACTTCTCCTGCAACGCATCATGCAACCTTCCAAACACACCTCCATGCCACATCCTAAAATCATCCCATTCTTCAGCAGGCATACAAGAAGCCATCATGTTCACCCATCCACCCACAATGAGATCCGCGTAGTTCGCCGTCTCACCCTCCAAGAACGGCCCCTCTTCATGAACCATGAATAGATCTGCCAGCGACTTCAGCGCCGCCTTGAATGCTACTTTGAGCTGCTCCCTAGCCTCGCCTTGAATGCAGATACTGTCCCAGGAATCCAAGTGAGCACGTTTGCTCATCTGTGCCTTAACAGCTTCCGCCGTCTCGGGGTTGAAAGGCATGTACTGAGCAACAAGCACTATATGAGCAGAGAACGTAGCGTCAACGTGGGTGTTGAACTTTGCATACGCCTTGTGTTTGGCCCCTTCGTTCAATGTGAAGGGAGCGTAGAACATGGTGTCTTTGTTCGGACTCTCGTAGTCAAGTCCAGTGTGGGTAGAGTTTTTAGGGAAAAGACAGCCACCAGAGTCGGGAAACGTGTCTTCGAGGTAATTGGCGATGTCGAAACTGTCTCCGATGACCTTGTCTGCGGACGGGTCTTGTAGCATGGGTAGGGTGTGGAAGTCGGACCCATCGTCTAGCTTACGTGTGGCTGGACAATTGAGTCCTTTGCGGACGGTGGAGATGTCGAGGAGATCGACCCAGGTTGTTTTGAAAGGTATGCTCTTGAAACTTAGGGCGAGGCGGGTCTTGGAGGGGTTGGGTGCGTAGGAGCGGGGCTGGATTGGGGAGGAGATGTCGTAGAAGATGAGGGGTTTGGAGTCTGTCATCTTGACAGTATTCGATGGAATAAGAGTACGGATGCCTTGTCTTGAGGGAAAGTGGGGGTAGAGATGTTGAGTCAGGGAGCCGTGATGTGGAAGAGATGCAGGTAGGCCATGCACGTAAGACTAAAGGAGCTTGGCGGGTTGCGGGGCGACACGAGAAATAGAGAATAGCAACGACATGTGTTCGCACCTGTTGCAAGAGTTTACGATGGGTTTTGCCAGGTCTCAAGATGTTAGCTGGTGTCGACTGAGCTGGTGGTCCTGCCGGTATCTCAGACAGGCACACAGGGTAAGAGCGCACGGACCCGAAGGCAGCTGTTAGGAGCATGATGGTTCTGGTTCCTGTGGAGCAGACACCACTACCCCACGAGCTTAGACGCGTCTGGAGTCCATGAATCCGACTTTACGATGGGGCGCTCATACTCGTTTGTTCGGCGTGTAGTGGCCGATGTGAGCAGCACCGGGCAGGTTCACGCGTGTAGCGATGACTAACACAGCGAATGGCTGGCTCGGCACCAACTCTTGTCCTCGTCATAGGCCAGCCGACTGCTCACACGCGCGATGGGTATCGCATTCCCTACGAGTGCAATGCGTGCGGCGAGGGTATATATGCCACGGACTTTGGACTAGCAGCAGACAAGACAACTAAATGCACCATGTCCGCCACTCTGCGTGCACACGCCTTGGACTTCCTAGACGTCGAGCACGATGACGAGCTTCCTGGCTATGACGAGGCTATGCCAGCTCCTGCCTACGGCGCACACGACGGGCCCCTCGCTACCTACTGTCTTCGCCAGTATGATCGCAAGATACAAATGCTCGCTGCCTACGATGCGCCCGTCGCTCCCTCGTACCGCATCACAACCAACAGCTTCCGCGTCTTCTCCAAGAAGCCGGAGATGGAGGTGCTCCATACTTCGCAGGACATGCGACAGCGCAACATAGCCGCACTGTCCTATGACAACGACGGAGGCTTCCCCTGGCGGCCCCGCGCGCATTTCGATTACACCGTGGAGGATGGCTCGAGTACGCGGTACAAGATGGAGTCGTTGAACTTTGAGGACTGGAGTTGCACCATCGACGACAAGACGTACGTCTGGGCACTCGACATGCGACCAATTGCATTGGTGCTGAGCGACAAGGACTCTGCCAAAGTCATTGCGCGCTTTATATTCTCAGACAAGGGCGTGCTCGCCCTGAGAGGTGCAGAGGTTGGCGACTTGGCCATCTTCCGCGACGGACTGACGCTGGCGCCAGGCGGTATCGACAAGGTGGTCTGTGGTGTCATGATTGTCGTTACCTTCTTCAAAAGAATGGGTAGGAACTACACGAACCCGAAGACGGATGGACTGGGGCGAGTAGGGTCGGTGGCCAGAGAGATGCCGCTACCGTCGCTGCATCGGGGCTCGACAGCAGGCTACTCGAGTTTGGGTAACTGGGCAGGATAGCATGCATGTAGCTGAAGGTTGGATATTAGGTGGTGCAATGCAGATATTGGCTGACCGAAAGACGCGAAAAGTACCATGTTGCTGTGCTTGTGCCACGCGTGGAAGGGCCGAAAAAGCACCTAGAGACGAGATGGGTGTCGATCTGGGGCATGGCCTACCAGAGCGTGGGTGACGGCGTCATGAGGCTAGAAAACGGCGTGACAGCACTCGCGCACTACTCGAGACAGCGGCGCGGACCGGGCAACGACTGCTAGCAACCACCTAACAGCCGTTGTAATGTTGATGTTTCGACGTGATGTTTTATTTCTTTGTGCCGGTGGCTTCATGCCAGTCATGCCTCGGAGGCGAGGCAGGACGCTTAACCCCTATGCGCGCCCGACCCGGGCGAAGGTTCTGGATCGCACCGACTCGAGCCAATCTGCCGATCAAAAGAGCAGGTGGAGACGGGCCCGTCCAAGACGACAAGGCCATCCCCGCTTGCCAAGTGGCTCGAACTCGTGTTTGCTGGTGGAGAGGCAACGCTGCGAGGGCGCCCCAAACACCACACAGCAGACAGCGTGGTGACACCGAGTGTGGCTGATAGCAGTGCGCGTCTGGATGACACGCCTCTGCACAGCGCAATCTGCTCTGTCCATGCATTGCCCTGGGCCAGCTTGCAAGCTGTGGCGAACCAAGCCTTCGCCTGGGTCTGGAGCCATCAGCCCATGTTCAACGTTCGAGGCGTCTAGCCCGAAGGGACCAACGCCTAATCTCTCCCCGGGAGGCCCGCCCTCTGCCCTTTTCCACCACCGTGGACGCGACTGCGACCTGCACCGAGCCGCCGCCGCCGAGCTGTTCGTCCAGCTTCACACTCGTCGCCAGCGCCCGCCAGAGCACCCGCTCGTCCTCTCTTTTCGCCAGTCCGCTGCTCGCAATCGTTCGCCCGGGACCTGCGGCCAAAAGCAATATAAACCCTGCACCACCAGAGGCCGACGCACCTGTCGCGCTGCTTCGGGCCTAGCAGCCTTGGTCGTGCTTTCACTCCACCTCGCCTGCGTGCCTGCCCTCTGAGCCGCGCCCCAGAGTAATCGAGATCCTGTACTGATCGTCGACGATACGCTTGGAAAACTCCGCCGCCGCCCGCTGCGAGGAATGGGATTCGCACATTCCCCTCTGTCTACCCACAACACCCGCCCTCGCGTCTGTCAGCTCGCCGGTACCGCTTGGACAGCTGAGTGAGATCCGCCCCGGCTGCGCACTCTCCCACTATTCCCGGGCTGCGTTGCTCCCCTCAAAGCACGTCGGTAGAATAGCCTGCGACTCTTCGCAGAGCCATGGTCAAGATGCGGATTCCCATCCGCGAACAGTTGGGATGTCTGGTTCTGCTGGCGTCCATGATAGGCCTGGCCGTAATAGCCGTCGCAACATGGGTACATATCGACGCTGCATACTCGTCCATGCTGGTACTGACATTGCCAGCTCACCAACCACAACTTCGTGCTCAACATCCGCTCGACCCGCCTGACGCTGACAGCCTCGCTCAAAGCCGCCCAACTCTCCTCGAATCTGAACTTGATGCAAATCCTCTCCCAGCAGGCTGCGAACCGCCTCTCCCCGCAGGCCGCCCTCAACCGATACTACGACGGCAACACCTCAGACGCGAACTGGGTCCGAGTCATTGAGGACTACGATGCCATCTTCTCTGGTGATATGAGAACCCGTGTGGCTGTCCAGGCCCAGATATACCCCTTCAATTCCTCCGACCGCTCCGTCTTCAGCCGGACCGCACTGAGCATGATGGACGTTGTGCTTCCCATACTTAAACCCGACGGCACGAATGCGACGCTAGGCGATAAAGAGTACGGCTTCATTCCCGAGCTCTACCCCAAGTTCTCTGTCGAGACGATTCCCTACAACGACACCGTCAACACCTACAAGGCACACTACGAAGGCAAGACCATTGACAACACGAGCTACCTCTTCACCGGGCCCTATCGCGTCAACGAAACACTCAGCTTGGTCTCGGTCACCATACCCATCATCAACAACACGTCCAACATCGACACCCTAGGATGGCTGACGGCTGTGCTGGATGCGTCGCTGATTACCAATGTTGTCAACGCCATGGAGGGTCTAGACAACAGTGGTCTTACTCTGCTGTTTGGCCCCAACAACGCTACGAACACCTTTCCTTCAGAATATCTGTATGACGCCGATACCCCCAACGCTCCCGAGAACGTACAGGTTCGCTACCTCGCCCCACCAACACAGCGAGCAAAGGTGCAACGGCACGGCCAATACGACACTTCTCTTGATCCGCCTCCATTCGAC